TACACGTGCGGATCGGGCAGGTTCCTCACTATGAAGACCGATTGGGAGCGAAGAGGACGCGACAGGCTACGTCGATTGGGTTCAGGCGCTGAACTGGGCTTACCGCCGACGCCGACCAACACGTTCAATAGACGATGCTGGTCGATTGCGATAAAGACACGTCCTTGACACTGATACCGATCAGCAAGATGGTCCGTAGCAATCCGGCGTCAACATCCTCACGAGCATCGACGGTGGCACTAGCAGCACACTGCTGAAGTAGTCCGCTTCACGTTCCAGTCCCTATCTGAGTCTGCCGCGTACAATTCGCTTTCAGCATCTTCGTAAGCGAAAACACAAACCTGTCTTCGTGTAGAAGGTAGTGCCCAAGCTCGTGCCGATCGAGAATCGTCGTCCCGTTCGAGACTCGGAGGCGTTTACGCGAATCTCGCCGTGTTCTAGCACTGCGCGTGCGTGTGTTCTCGAGTGTCAGACTGCACTACGTTGAGAAAGAGCGATCCAGCGATGCCCTCCACGTCGACGGTGGTTTCGGTGATGCCGGCATCCCTGAGGATTTCCGCAGCATTCGTTTCGCACAATTTGGTTCGGACTGGCATCATAGCGGTCTCGTAAATCGATTCTCTCAGCAAACCGGTCGTCAGACCTCCACCGTGATCCCGCCACCGAATCCAGGTAATTGGCAAACCATCGAACGGCGATCGCTGCTTCGCTATGGTCGTCTGGGCGCTTACCGAAGCTCTGCGGACTTCGACCGCAGCCTCGGCCACGTCGTCGGGTCCAGGTCATCTCGAGTACCAGTTTCAGGTCTTCGAGCCCAATTCATCGAGCGCATCGCTCATATCGTCTGTGTGACGCCGCAATAGTTGATTTGAAGCCAGGGCACTTGATGTTCCTGCCTGTCGGGCAACACAGGTCCTAATCCCCTGGACCGGGTTTTCGGGGCGGCATGGCTGGATCAGGCCAGAGGGTGGACGTTCCATTGAACCACCAAGTGGGAGATGACGAAGAGATTATTCGCTATATTTTACCATCTAGGTCGTCCCAAAGTCGGGGAGACCCAATAGAGCCTCGACATCGTCAGGGAGCCGAGAATGACCAAAGCGCAACCATTAGTCCCCAGAGAATACCTACGGGTTCAAAACGCCTGATCCTCTTGGAACACGTGACGCTATGGTGTGATGTATGACAAGGTGAGCGGGATGACAGAGTTCCTGTCCAGTTTTATTTTTATTTATTAATTTTTTCAGTTTTATATTATAATTATCATTTTTTCATTTTTTTCAAAAATGCCGTCCTCGGACTGACCTCCGACCTCAGTCCCAGTTCACTCGGAGCGGACATTATTGCTGACCACCTGCGACTCCAGTGGTACACTTTCCCGCCGCCCCAGTGGTCTGTTATCCGCCCGCCCTTGTATATTGGTAACAGTTCCCAATAGTGACTTCACAGACGTGGAGTGGGGTGCGGCAGACCGATCCGCCCCTGGTCGTCAAAGACCGTTGTCAAGCAAGGGTCGCCGCACCATCTCCAAGCAGAGCCCGAACGGTTGCCTGGGCCAACTAAAGCCCGCATCTTGTGTTGTTGCTCAGCGATTCTGTCCTCGCTAACTGTCAAGCGAAAATGTCCACATGATGGAGAATGTGACATTGACGCAGAAAGAGCAGACAAGGCTTCAGGTTCTCAACAGTTTGATGGCGGACCATATGACCATAGAGCAGGCAGCGACATTGATGGGAGTGAGCACGCGCCACACCAGGCGTATTCTGGCGGCCTACAGAAGGGACGGAGCAGCCGCACTCGCTCACGGCAATCGAGGTCGCAGACCGGCCAACGCTACACCGGACCCGTTGGCGACCGATGTAGTACTTCTGGGACGCACGCGATACGCGGGAGTCAACCACACTCACCTGAGCGAGTTGCTGCGGGAACAAGAAGGCATAGACATCGGTCGCAACACGTTGCGCAAGATACTGACTGACGCCGGTGTGAACAGTCCTCGCCGTCGCAGGCCGCCGAAGCATCGTGTTCGACGGCAGCGGATGGCTCGCGAGGGAATGCTGATACAGATAGACGGCAGCTACCACAGATGGCTTGGAGAAGATGGACCGCAGTTCACGCTGCTGCTGGCGGTGGACGACGCCACCGGGATCGTGGTCAATGCGCTGTTCTGTGAGTTGGAGAACACGCGCAGCTACTTCCTGCTGATGCGGGACCTGATACGGAGCTACGGCATACCGCTCGCACTCTATGCAGACCGCCATGCCGTCTTCAAGCACACGCCACCGTCAGAGGTCGCCACCGCTCCCACCCAGTTCAGTCGAGCGATGGACGAGCTTGGCGTACAGCTGATATTCGCGCGGTCTCCGCAAGCCAAGGGTCGGGTGGAACGCATCGCGGGGACACTCCAGGACAGGCTGGTTACGGAACTGAGACTCGCACGCGCAGCCACCATCAACGACGCTAACCGCGTGCTCGATGACTTCCTCCCCCGCTTCAATGAACGCTTTCGTGTGCCGGCGCAGCACACAGAGACCGCATATCGGGACCTGGACGGGCGGGTGTGCCTCGACACAACCCTCTGCCTGAAGTACAGGCGCAGGGTTGGCCGGGACAACACGGTGAAGTACCGCTGGCGTACTCTGCAACTTCTGCCTGGCATGGATCGGCCGAGCTACGCCGGAGCGGTGGTGGATGTCCTCGAAGGGCTGGATGGACAACTGGCAGTGCAGCACGAGGGACGCATCATCCCCACACAGGAGGCACCGCAGCGCCCCAACATCCTGCGCAACTTCACCAAGAGAACCGCGCATACTCCCGCGCCTCATCTCGACAGCAATGGCTTGGGCAGACGTTGGGCAGACAAACTTGCGCAGCTTGATGTCGAGGTCTCCCAAGACGACGCCGACAGCAACGGCGCTGGAAGAGCTCGCAAGGCCGTGACTCCTCGCTGGAGGAAGCCCACGCCACTTCAGACAGCGAGATGGAGAGCGGTGCGGAAGGCGAAGCGAAAGGGGCTGTCAATTCGTGGGATCGCCCGGGAGCTGGGCATACACAGGAACACCGTGAGAAGTACATGGATGCTGAGAGTGCACCTATGGCGCGTGGGCGCGCGAAGTCGACGGTATCGTAGTCTGATAGCATGGCGATCTACAGGGGTGACACTTTCCCTTGACACTTAAGCGGACATATCCCTGAAGCTTCGACACATCTTGCAAGGAAGGGCCAATGCTCCACACAGGAGGTATGTATGAACAGGAAACAGTTTAGAGGTTGCGTCAATTAGTGTGTAAACAAGATCAGGCGGCGACCTTCTCAGTCATCGTGTTCATGACGATCCCATCGTCGTACCTGGCGCCCTGGTAGACATCCCTCATAAGATCAGGCGCCTTCAGCCGGCGGAACCTGCTCTCAGCCACCAGCAGCATCTTCCAGATCACCGCTATCGCCCGATCCACCCTCTTGTAGCGTTTGGCCGCGTCGGTCCTGAGCCTAAGTGCAGCGAACGGTGACTCCACAGGGTTGGTCGTTCTGATGTGCCTCCAGTGCTCGAGGGGAAAGTCGTAGAACGTCACCATTCTCTCCCAGTCACGTTCCAGGCTCTCAGCTGCCCCCTCGTATGAGTGTTCCCGACACCACCGGCTGAACACCGTTCTCATACGCTCAGCCTCAGCCCTGCTCTCTGCGTACGGGATGTTCCTCAGCATCAACTTCGCACTCTCTTGCTGACGTTTCGGCAGCCGGTCCAGCACGTTTATGATCTTGTGGTTCCAACATCTCTGTTCAGCCGCCTCGGGGTAGATGTTGCGAAGCGCTCCCCAGATGCCGAGGTGTCCGTCTCCAACCACCAGGCGCGGACAGCCCATCCCGCGGTCTCTGAGATCCCTGAGCACCGCAGACCAACTCCGGGTCGACTCTCTGTAGCCAGGCTCTGCGCTCAACACCACCTTGCTCCCGTCGCTCAGCGCTCCGATCGCCACCAGCACAGCAGCCTTCTCTCGCTCAAAACCTGCCTTCACGTACACCCCGTCCACCCACACATACACCACCTCCAACTCGTCGAGACGACGACCACGCCACTCGGACAACTCGGCGTTCCACCTCTCCTTCAGACGACTCACCGTGCTGGCTGACAACGGCGCATCATCCCCCAGCAACCCTCGCAATGCCAGGTCGAAGTCCCCCTCAGACAGGCCGTGCAGATACAACTCAGGAATCAACTCGGCGATCTGTCTGCTCCTCTTGACGAACAGCGGTAACAGCCTGCTCTCGAACCTCTCCTCGGTGTCGCGTACCCTCGGCCTCCTCACTCGTATCGTCCCAGATGACAATGTCAGCTTCCGGGAACGTGAGTGCCCGTTCCGATAACCACTGTCGCTGTCTGAACCCGACCGTCGCGCCGACTTCGCCCTGCCCAGGAACTCCGTCACCTCCTCTTCGAGCACGTGCTGGATCAGTCCCTGCACCTGGCCTCTGAGCCAGTCCTCGAGATGGTCCCATTCGGGCCTTGACTCCTTGCTGTGTTCGATGTTCTCATTGCTCATGAGCGGTGTTCTCCTCTCTCGGGCCTATTGCCCGCTTTTGATTCAGAGAGAGGGTACACCGCCTTTTCTATTTACACTCTTTCTGAAGGTTACCTCTTGGTGTAGCTGAACTCGTATCAGTCGGACCCGTCCTCTGGTTTAGGAAAAGTCTAGACTGGTGGCCTCATACTCTAAAGGACACAGGCCTCGGTAGTGGTGGTGAGATTGCGTCGGCAGGTCATGTTCTTATACTTCGGCCATGTGTAC